CAGAGATTCAAAGTGTGCCTGTGGCATTACTGGTGAGACACTGAGCATTTCTTAGCCTGAGACTTATGTCCCACCTGTAAATTGGACCTGATAGTAGCTTATGTTAGAGGGCTGTAAATCAGATCTTGAAAAACGATTTATACAAAATGATTAGTGTAATGCTTACCATATGAGCTCCCAGTAAATCTTTTCACTATCAATTCTTGTCAAGATTTCTGTAGTACTGTACTTTAACCATTTTCAAAATGTGATGCACAGGCATTTTCAGAGGTCATGAGGTCAAAGCTGTTTTTGTAATAATATTAAGGATTTATATAGTTTTCATTAACATTGGTTTTGATAGTTCAAAAGCAAACCATTGCAGAACAAAATGTGCTACTGCTTTACATCAACTAAGATAACCATGATAAAGAAAATAGACAATAGCAGGCATTGACAAGAATGTGGAGTAGCTGATGAGGATGGAAAATGGTACAGCCACTTCAGAAAAATAGTGCGGTATTTCCTCAAAAAAGTAAATGCAGTGACCATATGACCCAGTGACTTCACTTCTAAATGTATACCCAAGATATGTTTAAATGGTAATGCGTATATCAACATTCATAGCATTATTCTTTTAAAAATTCTCTTGGTACCAGGGATCAAATTTGGGACTTGGCGCTTCAGAGGCAGGTGGCAGAACCACTGAACTAAATCCTTGGCCCCATAGCTATTATTCTTAATAGTATAAAAGTGCAAACAACCCTATTATCGCCCAAGGAATGGTTAAACAAAATGTGGATATTCAAACAATGGGATATTGGGCTGGATAATACTTAGGGGTGTGTGTGTCCTCTGCATCATTAGTGTTTAGCAACATTGCTGGCTTCTCAATTCATTAGATAGCACGAGCAACTCTCCCCTCCAAGTGGTAATAACTAAAACTGTCTCCTGACATTACCAAATATCTCCGGGGCAAAAATCACCTCTGGTTGAAGACCACAGGCACAAATTAATAGTCCTTATATTCTTCACTGTCATTCACTTGCAGTTTACAAAAATCCCAGTTTTACTTAGTAATGTCTTTATGAAGCAGTGATAATTATTAATTTTATCAAATCTTGACCTTGAATATATATCTTTGACAGTAATCTATAGGGAAACCCCTATGGAGCTGGTAGCATAGCTCCAAGGTAAAGCATACAGAAGGACCTGGGTTTGATCCTCAGCACCATCACCAAAACAAAACCCTTTTAAATTAACATAATTGAGCTTTCAAGCAAAAATAAAAATTTTGTAAAAGTTGTATTAGCATTGTAATCTTGATGGCTTCCACATACTTGAGTCTTCTGATGAGACTGGTGTAATATAAACAAATGTTATTTTTTTGATAATGTAGAAATATGGCAACTTTTAGAAGATCTCCATAATTCAGTAAGCCAATATTTCCAAATGACCAGTGTAGCATGTTATAAAATCATGCATGGTTTAAGAGATTTATTCAAAGGGCAACATGGACCGATACCTTTCTTATTTTTTTTGAAGTGTAATTAATTGAGACTTAATAGGTTGCACACACTTTCACACATAAACACACAAAGAAAACTACAACAATCAAGGAAATGAACATGAGTATCACTCCCAAAACTTTCTGTACTTCTTTACAATCTCTCCTTCCTGCCCTTCTCTGCTCCCTTTCCACCATCAACCAAGCTACCATTAACCTGTCTTTTTTTTTAAGTAAAGATTTGTTTGCCTGTTATAGTGCGTGCTTATTATACAGTACTCATTAATACTTGGTATGATTAATCTTTTAACATTAAATAGGTAGTTACTATTTTATTGTTTTTAACTTGTATTTTCCTAATTACTAATGATGTTGTGTCTTTTCACGTGTTTACTATTTGTTTATATGGCTTCTTTAGTAAATTGTCTAATAAACTTTGTGCTTTTTTTTTTGTAATGGAAATTGAATTCAGGGTCTCATGCTTGGCAGGCAGGGAGGCATTGTGCTGTTCAGCTACATTCCCAGCCCTGGGTATTTTCTTATTGTGAGGCATGAGAGCTTAAAAATATGATTTTTATCTAACAAGTGATTTGCAAATATCTTGTTCAATTGTTGGTTTGTTGTCTCTTTTTGTGTTGTTTGTTTGTGATGGAAGAGTCTTACTCTGTATTCCAGGGTGGCTTTGAACTCACTATTTACCCCAAGCTGGTCTCAAACTTGTAGTGATTCTCCTGCCTTAGCCTCTAAGTGCTGGGATTACAGGTGAGTACCACCATGACCAGCTATTCTTCTCACTTGCTTAACAAAGTCTTTAGAAAGCTAGTATTTAATTTTGGCAAAATCCCATTTATAGTTTTCTTTAAACCAATACTGTTTTTGGTATCATACCCAAAGAATCTCTACCTAACTCAACCAAGTTCACAAATACTTTTATGCTGTTTTAAGTGGCATCTTAAGTGTCTGATCTTTCATTGCTAGCATGTTAATGCAATTGATTTTTCACATACTGATTTCATAATCTGCAGCCTTGCCCATCTATTAGTGCTCATGGCTTTTTGTAGATTCTTAAAACAGATTTTTTTAGAATTGTCAATATGTCAACTATTAAAGTTGGTTTTATTTCTCCCTTTTAGGGTTGAATGCTGCTTATTTTTCTTGCCTTATTGCACAGGACATACCTCCCAGTACAATGTTGAACAGAAGTGGTCAAAGCAGAATTGCCTTGTTCTAGTTCTTGTGTTCAGTTCTTCAACACTGAGTGTGATGCTTTTTACAGATACTCTATTATCAAGGATGTTTCCTTGTAACTCTGGGAGATATTGGATTTTGTCCAAAGCTTTCACTGCTTCTATTGAGATGATCATTTATTTTTTCTTTTTCTTCTTTTTTTTAGTCTCAGTTAATATGGTGAAACACATTTGTTGATTTTGTTTCCAATGTTAATTCAAACTTGCATTCCTGGGATAAATACCTCTTTGGTCATGATGGATTGTCTTTTTTACATATTGTGGAATTTTTGTATATGTGGTTATGAGGTATATTGGTCTTAAGTTTTCTTGTTAATAGCCAGAGTTTAAACATTAGGGCAATGTGTCCATAGAATGAGCCACAAATATTTTCTCTTCAATTGTCTGAGGGACTTCTTTTCCTTTTTCTAAGGCTCTTTATGAAAATTGAAATTATGCTTTCCTTTAAAAATATACACGTTTGGCCAGGGATTTAGCTCAGTGGTTCTACTGCCTGCATCACAAGCACAAGATCCTGAGTTTGATCCCTGGCACTAGAAAAAAAAATGTGCATGTTCTCTAAAAGAACACATGTTAATACTATACAACGAAAAGCCAGAGTGGATGTATGACTACCAGATAAAGTACACTTCAGAGCAAAGAATATGACCAGGGAAGAGGAAGACCAAATATAAAGTGAGTCTTTCATAATGGCAAGTTTTATAAAGGGCAAATTCATCTACATAACAATATAAATATTTAAGCAACTGTCTTTTTACTTTTCTCATTGCTGAGACAAAACACCTGATACCCAAAGTTAAAGGAGGAAAGGTTTATTTTGGCTTACAGTTTGTAGATGTTTCATTCCATAAATGGCTGGCTCCAAGGCACGGTGATTAAGAGAGGTGCACAGAATAGAAGACCAGCAGCAGCAGTGGCAGCAATAAGCACTATGCAACAAGAGCAACTTTCTACCCTTTTATGTTCCACCAAAGGCTGGAACTATGGCAAACTAGTCAATGAACTAATTTAGTAACCACACACCTTTAATCCCTGCATCATACACTCTAGATCCAGCCACCTCTGAAAAAGCCCTGCCAATGACCTCATGAGCCTTTGAGGGGATAACTAGACACAAGCCATAATGGCAACTAAAAGCAGATCTTCCAAATACATTTAGTGAAAACTGATAGAGCTAGGGAAAAAAACCCCACAATTATAGTTTTCGATACTTTCTGAATAATTAACAGAATAAGCAGACAGAAAATCAGGAAGGATGTAGAAGTTTAGGCAATAATATCAACCAACTTAGCTCGATGGACATTTATAAAGCCCTCTACCCAATAACTGCAGAATACCAATTATTTCAAATGCATGTGAACACTTAACAAGACAGACCATGCTTTGGTCTACAGAACAAGTGTCAAAAAATTTAAAATGATTCCAATTACACAAAAAATGTTCTGATCACAATTGCATTACATTATAATATCCAGAAAATTGTTCAATAATTTCAGACAATATGATACACTTACAAAAAAACCGTGGGTCAAGGAAGAACCCAAGAGGAATTTGAAAATAGTTTGTGATGAAGGAAAATGAAAACATAACATATCAAAATATGTGGCAGGCAGCTATAGTAGTATAAGGATACTTGTTGCCCCAAATGTTTATATTACAAAGGAAGAGACTCTTCCATCAATGATCTGTTTCCGAGTTAAGAAATGAATAAATCTACAAAAGCAAAAATTGGCTTTGATAAGCCTCTTGACAGGAAAGACACAGATAACCAATTTTAGGAATGAGGGGTAGATTTTCATAAATGACAAGAAAAAAAAAGGTATGTTAACAGATTTACATTAATGAACTAAACAACTTAGGCATTTTCACACACGAAAATACCCACTCAAGAAGTATTAGCAGTAAAGATTTGCTGAGTTAGGGAATCCTGGCTATGATAGGTAGGGCGCTGAGCCCGGGCTGGAGAGATACAGAAGGCATTTTCATCTCCGAGAAGGTCTGCTATTCAAGAGAAAAAAAACCCAAAATCTAAAATTTAATACTGATCCACAGGAGAAGAGCGGAGAAGTTGGTTGAGGAAAAATTTCTCAGGGAGGGGGCCCACAGAAGGGGGCCCACCCACCAACACTGGAAGGACCATTAGGAAAAGGTCCGCATCTCTTCTTTCCCAGCGAATCCCGAGTCCCGCCGAACGCTGAGGTGCGCCTGCGCACTCCAGCAGCAGGCGCTCCAAAGGGGGCGTGGCGGCCACCGGAAGCGACCTCTCACCTCTGCCGGTATTCTCATCCGGGTCACGTCAATCTTCCGGATTTTTCTACGCCGCCTTCTCATCGACTTTTTGGTCTTCCGCCTTTACCGCCGCCCCTCATCCTGTATATCCTCGTTGGTCCTGTGTTTTCTCGTGTCTCTCCTCCTGCAGTCGCGCCTGGCCATAGGTCGCCAGTCCGAACCGAAGCCGGGCCTGGTCCACTGGGGCCGCCCCTGCCTCTTTGGGTCCGGCCGCGCGCGCCCGGCTGCGGCTGTCCGGGCTCTGGCCACGGGCTGTGCAGCCTTCTTGGTGACTCTGGTGAGTCTGGCTTCCTGGAGGGGCGCAGCAGTGCGGGCCCTGTCGGGGGCGGGGCGCGCTTTAACTTTTTCTGAAACTAGTGTTTTGTTTTGCTTAGGAAGTTCCAGCGAGATCTCGTAGGCAGCCCTCGGCTGCTACTCCTTTTGAGGACTCTCAGGGCCTCTTCTCTCCAGTGTTCTCTGTCTCGAGTCCTACCCCAGTCACCTCACCCCACTGCCCTGTCCTCCTCCGCGATCGAAGCGGGAAGATTGTCTCGAAACTCCTGCATGGTGTTTCAAAGGGCAGTGGAGAACGAAGGTAACGGTCCAGATTATTTTAAAAGGCATTTATCTTTAAGATTTTTAAGTGACAGGAAATTATCTTAGTTCTTCATTTTACGGGAAAAGGTTGGGACTGAGAGTTAAATACCCTCCCTTCTATATCCGGTCAGCCTTTGTGGATAGGATCTTCATTTCTTTCTTGGTAAGGACACAAGGGGCTTATGTGTCTCACAATTTCTGGATTACTTAGGCTCCCTCTCCTTTTGTCTCTTTCAGTTCTATGTTTAAAATAGTTAACATTTACACCAAAAAGGTGAAGAGGGAAGAAACAGAAATTGTAAAATTCAAGCCAAGTTGACACCTTGTTAACAAATACTCTGTGATTTTGTGAAGAAAAAGATCAAAACTGAGCACACGGTCTGTGTGTTTCTATGGCAGGCAACATATAAATATTTTCGTATTGTATGGTCCACAAGGTTTTTAATATGTATGAATTAACAGTCATAAGGCTCTGATTTAGGAGTACTTATTAGTACCTAGAAGCAGTAACATGACTTTGTTGATGTGAATAGCTCCAAATTATGTCTGCTCTAGAAATGCCCTGTGATATACATAAACTCCATGTGAAACAGGTCATTTGTTATTTATTTGGTACCTTGTGACTAGATTTTTTTTTTTTTTTTTTTGTACTGGGGATTGAACCGGGGCCCTTGTGCTTGTGAAGTAGTCAGTAGAACCACTGAGTCAAATCTCCAGCCCCAACTAGATTCTATTTTAGCATTTGGGTGGAATTCAATTCTTAATAAAAAGTAAAGTCCTGACTGAAACCCGGAAACGATTTTGACAGTGGGTGAGCAGGATTTAGGAATTGGACTTTTTCTGTTGTGGAGGAAAAAGTGGATTTAGGGGATCAAAGCATTTGGATAAAGTCGACAGATGACCTGCTTCGGCCAGTACAGTTCCATATGTTATATTAGGTAGATTCTGCTTTCCAAGGAATCCTGATAAAGGAATTATTATGTAATTTGTTGGAGAGGTCAAGTTGAGGATGAATAACCAGGGTATAAATTTCACAATAAAATACTACATCACTAGGAAATAAAAACTTACAAACTTACTCTCTTGTCTCGTGAATGATCATTTACAAATGAACTTGTGATTTTCCATTGAGTCAAACTTAATGAGAAGCATCTTCAGAATTCTCTCTTTACAGCAAGAACCAGCACACTGGTTTTAAAAGCAGTTCAAACTTTACCTAGAATATTTTATAATTAGGAGTATAGATAAAACTTAATTTTTAGAGAAAGAAAAATAGGATACTGCCAATCTCTGAAGTTTATCATACCTGACTACTGCAGGTAATGTGGAATAATGTTTTGCATAGATCATTTATACTTAGTGAAGAAGCTTTTCATTAAGAATCTAAAGAAGCCCAGTTTGGTGGCACACACTTGTAATCTCAGTACTCTTGGAAGCTGAGGCAGGAGGATTGCAAGTTCAAGCTCAGCCTAGGCAATTTAGTGACTCTTTGAGACCCTGTCTCAAAAATAACAAAAGAACTGGTGATGTAGCTCAGTGTGAAGGTCCTGGCTTCAATCCCCAGTGCCACCAAAAAAAGCATATGAAGATTTAAAATGATTGTAGCCAAATGATACTGTTTTATAAGAATCCCTTACATTGTTTATTCCTTATAATTGGTTCTTGATTTGGTATTTTATCAAAATTACTGTTGAAATGTGTTAGAAAAAGGAAGAGAGATTTATGAGCTTTTTGGTTTACTTCCTTATCTCTAGATGGTCATGTAGCATACCTATGTTGGAGAGCATTGAATACTGTTGATTAAACCTCCTAGGAATGGTTCTCTCCACTTTAAAGGTTGACCTGGTCAGGAACCTGACTTAAGAGCAGAGATTCTTGTTGAGGAGAGGCTGACAGATGTTTTATTTTGTAGGGATTTCAAAGCCACTGGTTCTCTGGAAATTTTGGGTAGACTGAGCTGGATATCTGCCCAGAGTAAACATTTGGCTGTGCTGAACAATTTGGTTATTGACTTTGTACAGTAGTTCTTGTCAGAGTCGCAAGATATTTTTTTGATTTACGCATTTGATGTAATAGTTGATGTAATAGGATGGAAACAAGATGAAGTCTGGGTTACTATGTCATTTTTTATCTTCAAGTCTGAATCAACCTATCAATCTGTCTATCTAATTTTGGTCTAAAGCAGTGGTGGCAAATGTATGGCACACATACCTCAACAGGCTGTGTGTTATCATTGAAAGCCCTAAAATGTTTGCCATTACTGGTCTAGAGAAAAACAGCCTTATAGGTATTAATAAAGAGTCTAGGTTGTAAGCTATGAACTGATTTAAATAAACTTGAAATAGAACATTCTGAATAAAAACACCCTCCTTTGATTAGGTCTAAAGTATCTGTATTCTAACAAAATGAGATTTTAAGCAATATTCATTACAGTGAGTCATAGTTAATGACATTTTCTTCTATATCCTATGGAATAGCAATTATACTTTTGGGGAAGTTCAGTCAGGGAAGTAGAATAAATATCAAGCTTTACTCCTAGGCAAAGTATAGAAAAAAAGAGTTGTCAGTCTTTGACTTCAATCCAGGATTACTGAATGTACTTTTTTTTTTTTTTTTTTTTTCCTGTATTGGGGATCAAATTTGGGACCTTGTGCTTGTCTTGTGAGGCAGACGATGGAACCACTGAGCTGAATCCCTGGTCCTGCTGAATGTACTGTTATTTTTTGGTACCCGGGATTGAACTCAGGTCCTTGCACTTCGCAAGGCAGGTGGCAGAACCACTGAGTTAAATCCCTGGCCCTTTTAATAAAGGATTCCCTAGAATGCTTTTTAGTTCAAGATATTTGGCCACTTATCAGTGAACTTCAGATGTAGTTTTTCTTTTCTTTCTTCTTTTTTTAATCTCCTATAGTGAGAAATAAGGGCTGGCTGACATGTTTTTTTTTTTTTTTTTTTTTTTTCTTTAAAGAAAGTAAAATAAAAAAAAAAAAAAAAAAGTCAGAGCTGGGTGTGATGGTGCATGCTTGTAAACCCAGCTGTAGGAATCCCTGGGAGAGTGAGGCAGGATGATAAGTGCAAGCCCAGCCTGAGAAATTTATTTAGTGAGACCCTGTCTCAAAATACAAAAGGGGTAAGGGGTAAGGATATGCTCAATGTGAAGGCCTTGGGTTAAATCTCTGGTACCACTAAATAAGTTTTTTTAAAAATTAGAAAGCCAGGTATTTGGGACAAGATTGATGATGCTCACAAGTTTTTTAGTTTATCTGTGGTCAGCCTAGAGAATTTTCATCTTTTACAGTTGGAAAAAAAAAAATAAGAATAAGAGTGTGTTTGACTGATATATTAGTTTCTTCCTAGATCTCTTTCTCTTCTGTTGACTCTTCTAGTTTTTCGAATCCATCCAGTCTTGATTCCTAGAGGCGCAACCACTTCAAGTCCTATAACTGGTTAGGTTTTTTTTCTTCTTCTGTTTTTTTAAAAAAAGCTTCCATAGCTCATTCTCTCAGTTTACATTTACTGAAAACAAAGTTTTAGTGCTTTCCATATCTTGTCTTGTCTTCCACATATCTGTTACACAAAAATTGTCATGTAGACTCATATAAATCTATAACAAGTGACAAATAGGATACTGTATGTGTAATAAGTGATATAATAAATATTACCACTTTTGTTTAAATGTTTAATGGTTATAAGTACCAAATATGTTTAATGGCTATAAGTACCAAATATGTATCAGTGGTTGTATTTTCTTTTTTATATTACTGTTACAGTTCTTTGTGTAGTTTAGTAGTTTATTTTTAATCAGCTGCTTTTACATACACACATACACATATATGCACACACATTTTAAAGAGATATGAGGTTTATTACAGATAGACATGTAGGATGCTTGCAGGAGTGGAGTGCACCTCCATGAAATGAGGTACAATACAGTTGAAAACTAGGGATCTTTTATGTGTTTGGAATGGTGAGTCTGGAATTTGATAATCTATAATCTTAGTCTTGTCTAGTAGGTAAGAGAGAATGGCCCTCCCATAGTGAGATAATGGTTTATTCATATGAGAAATCCCAAAAGGGTGGTCTGTTCATGGATGAAAGAACCATTTGAAAGTAAAAAGGGAATGGGCAGACCTCTTTATAGCTGAAAGGGAGTTAGTTGCCCAGGCTTGCATCCTGAAGCTTCAGTTTTACTTAAAAGTACAATTTTTAAAATCTCAGTTTTCTTGTCTCCATATTACCTGGTTTTATTTCTTCTAACCTACCTCATTTTTTCTCATGACACTTCAGCCCCTTATTTTATTTTTTAAATTTTTATTTATTTTTTCAGCCTCTTGTTAAGGGAGTGCAGCTGGTTGATGGTCCCTCTTCAGCAACTACTTCAGGCTGAGAAAGGGGTAGGTAGGTATTGATCTTGCTTAGCCAGGGACTGAAAGTCTCATCTTGACTTACCTAAAGGAGACATAGAAATATTGGGTTCCATTTTTTGAAGAACCATCATCTTTTGGTAGTCTGAAAAAGGGGGCAAGGACATACGAGACACTAGCCCACAACAATAATGAATCACATAACAGAAAAGAATTCCAGTGCACAGTATCATAGCCAGAAAAATTAGGACTTTTCCCACCAGGTTGTTGCAGAGAACCAGGTTGCCAGCTAGTCATTAAAGCTTGTAGCAGAGTCTGATACTGCACTTGTTTGTTATCATAGATCATGTAATGCAGAGAACACATTTTCAGAGTTGTCAGGAATACACAATATTCTGTTTTTTTAATGGCACAGATTTTACCTTGTGCTGCTGTTAGAATATCTAGGGCAGTGGTGGTGAACCTATAGTTGGACCAGGAAGACCCTTTCTAAAAGAAGCTCATCAAATAAACCTTATTTGCATCTCCTTCTGGTGTTGGATTCCAGGTTCATCTCCTCTTGTATAAAGAATTGAATGAAATGAGCAAAAGAATGGTGACAAAGTTTATTTGAAAAAGTAATGCTTTTTTACTGTGCTGTTCATTGGGTCTTTTCAGTCTAGGGATTGGTGTCTTTTAGTCTTAGATATTTCCTTGTTTTATTTGTCTGTTAGTAGTTTCCTTTGTATTACTCTGTTCTGGACCTTTGGTATAATGTTGGATGTTGGACCATGTTGCCTTTCTGTACTTAGTACTGGGATTGAATTTGGGACCTTGCACTTTCAAGGCAGTCAGTGGAACCACTGAGCTTATGGGTAGTTTCTAATTTCATTCATAGAAGAGTTTTCTAATTCTTTGAGAGTGTTACCCGGAGGTCTCATTTTTACTTAGTTTTTTATTATTCCTTTTGAATCCCCCTGGCCCTTTTTGAGATTGAACCCAGAGCTTAGTGTATGCTAACCAAATGTTCTACCACTCAGCTACACCCCCAGCCCTTTTTAATTTTTGAGACATGGTCCTTCCCGGTTGCTTAGGCTGGTGTAAAACTTGGCAATCTTCTTGCCTTAACCTCCTGAGTCCCTGGATTATAGGCTTGGGTCACCCTGCCCATCACATATATTTACATTTTTTTGGGGGGGTGACAGGTCTCACTGTAGTTGAGACTGACCTGGAACTCACTATGTAGCCCAGGCTGGTCTTGAACTCATAGTGATCCTCCTGCCTCAGCCTCCTGAGTGCTGGAATTACAGGTGCGTGCCACCACGCCTGGCCTCACATATTTCTTTTATTGAAAGTTTTTTTTTCCCCCCAACTGGGGGTTGAACCCAGGGCCTTTGTATGGAGCTATATACCTGGCTTTTTTCTTGTTTTTTATTTTGAGACAGAGTCTTGATAAATTTCTACATTGGCCAGGCTGGGCTTGAATTTGTGATCTTCCTGCCTTAGCCTGTCAGAATACTGGGTTGCAGTAGTATGCCATCACATTCTAGTCCTCTGTGTAAAGTATGTGGATTTTGAGAAGAATCTCATAATTTTATAAATTTTTAGGTGATACAAATTTTCTTGCTTGTTTCATCAGATAGGTGAAATCCATATCCTACTAATCGGTTGTGACATTATGGCTGAAACCTTTATGTATTAAATTGAGAATTAAATATTAAGACTGTAGTATTCCATTAAATTTCTCTAGTGTTTTTCACTAGAGTATATGGTAATATTTAATAGTTTGATTTTTAAATTTGGTGATGTTTGATAATTTGATTTTTAAAAACATTTGTTGACACATTTGGCAAACATTACGGCAGATTCATCACAAATTTAGAAATGTGTATATTTTGATATTAGTTGAATAATATGGTTAATTTAGATTTAGAATTCGTTGTTTTTGGTTACCTACTTTAGAACTGAAAGTATGTGTGTGTGTGTGTGTGTGTGTGTGTGTGTATTTTTTTTGCAGTAGAGGGGATTGAATGCAGGGCTTAATGGTAAGCTACATCCCAGCCCTTTACAATTTTTTGAGACAAGATCCACTAAATTTTCTAGGCTGGACTAGAAGTTGAAGTCCTCCTGCTTCAGCCTTCCAGAATGCTGTAATTATAGACATGTACCACCTATTTTAACTTTTAAAAATAACTATGTAAATGAATTAGTAATGTTATAACTAATTTTTTTATATAGCAGATAATTTTCAAAGAGTTCAGTATCTTTAAGATGTAGTACAGTTTTGTCTTTTTAAATTATTGTAGGTAGAATACATGTGCACTTCCAGTGAGCAAGAGCATGTTCCCGAACTCAATTTTGGGTCGCCCGCCCTTCACTCCAAACCATCAGCAACATAATAACTTCTTTGCTCTGTCACCAACTCTTTATTCACACCAGCAGCTTATAGATGCACAATTCAACTTCCAGAATGCAGAGTAAGTACAGTGCTGTTTGGGCCCTTTTTCATTTTCTTTTTGATATAAAGCCTTTTTCGTATGGAAGATTTGATGGTAGAGAAAATTTACTGCTTCTATATTTCTCTTGATCAGTGAAATACTTAGTTTTTGTGAAGTTTATTCTTAGAGAAAAATATGTATGTTACTACTGGTCTTTCTTTGCTTTTTTGATAGCTTGTCTAGAGCTTTGTCATTACAGCAACTGACATATGGAAATGTTGGTCCAATACCGACCTCAGCATCCCCAATATTTCGAGGAAGGAAGTAAGTACTTTTCAGTTACTTTAAAAGAAGATTTTAGAGTTTTGAGAACTGTTTAATAGTTTATCTTGTGTAAAATTTTTTTAGATACTATACTTAGATTTTATTCTTTAGGACTTGGCATATTCAGATCAATAAAAGGATTTTTTAATTTTTCTGTTTAAAAAGGTTTAAGGATTCCTTCATTTGCTTGTTTCTGCCGTTTATACATTATAGATGAAATGAAGCTACGTTTCTTCAGATAACTACTTTTTTTTTTGGTATGGGGGATCAAACTTGAGATCTTGTTTTTGTGAGGCAAATGGCAGAACCACTGAGCTAAATCCCCAGCCCTGGGTAACTACTCTTTAATTGAAATTTTTAGTAAATTAAATTGTATTTTTAAAAATTTGTTATGGTTGCCATAACAAAGTGCTACAGACTGGTACTAGGTGCCCGAAACAACAGATTTTTTTGGTCACAACTTGGAAACTAGAAGTCTAGATCACTGTATCAACAAAGTTAGTTTCTTTCTTTTTCTTTTTTTTTTTTTTTTTTTGTACCAGGGATTGAACTCAGGACCCTGCACTTGCAAGTCAGGTGCAGTGCCACTGAGCTAAATCCCTGTCCCTAAAGTTAGTTTCTTTTGTGGCTTCTCTCCTTGGCTTATACATGACCATTATTTTTTAAAAAGTTTATTTTTAATCAGTAAATGTTTACAGTTGATAATGATTATGTGCATTGTGGGCAACTGGTAATGTATGTAACACATTCTAATTCTTTTCAAATCCCCTTTCCCTCTTACCATCTTCTCACTGTGTCCTTATATGCTCATCCCTCTGTGTCCTAATCCTTTTATTTTGATGGTACTGCAAATTGAACCCAGGGTTTTCTCACTGAACTATATCCCCAACCCTATTTAGTTTTGTTTTTTTTTTGGTACGGGGGATTGAACTCGGATCCTTGTGCTTGCAAGGCAGGCCACTGAACCGCTGAACTAAATCCCTGGCCCCCAACCCTATTTAGTTTTGCGATAGGGTCTTGAGCACATTACCCAGAGTGGACTTGAATTTTCTGTCTTGTTTCAGCCTCCCAGAATGCTGGCACTAGAAAGTTGTGTCACATCATGCCTTTGATCTCCTTTTTTTTTTTTTAGTACCAGTGATCAAACTCGGGTCCTTGTGCTTGTGAGGCAGGCAGTGGAATCACTGAGCTAAATCCCTGGCTGCTCTCCTCTGTTAAGGGCACCAGTCATCCTGGGTTTGGGCCCATCTTTAAAGATCCCATTTTAACTTAATTACTTCTTTATGAGTCTTACAAAGATAGTCATACTCTGAAATACGAACCTTGGGATTTTGACCTTGGAATTTCGAGGGGATATTGTTTGGCTTTAGCACTGTCTTTCTGGTGAAGTTTACTCTGTTCTTTATATTTTTTCCCCTTCCTTTTTTACTGTGCTGTGCATTGAACATAGGGCTGTATACATTCTTGGCAAGCACTCTATCACTGAGCTACATCCTCAGTCCTAATTATTTTCTTGACTCTTAATTTGAAAACTTCAAACTTGCAGAAATATTTAAAGAACAGTGACTGAGCATCTGTGTGCCTTTTAGTTTTGTCAGTGTTTTGCTACATTTTCTTTTTCTTTCTTTTCTTGTTTTTTTTCTTTTCTTCAGCTTTAATTGAGTTTATTGGTACATTTTAGGGATACAGTACAGTTACATTCATTGTTGGGATCTTGTACCTCTACATGACAAGTCTTGGTTCTCATTTTTGCCCCTTGTCCCTACCCTCCCTACAACCCCTCCTCCCCTCCCCATCTACAACCACTTTATTTCCATCTTTTCATTATCTCACATTTTTTTCTTTTCCCTTTTTACCCTTCCCCTACCCGTCCCACCTTCCCTACACCTTTAACTCCTTTCTTCCCATTTCTAAATGTCAGTAATCTTATTAGGATCTTCTGTATTATTGCAGATTATTCACACCAGAGAAACTATTCGGTATTTACATATGTGTGCCTTATTTATCTCACTTAGGAGTATATCTTCAGTATGTATCCATTTTCCTATTCTTGTTTTTTTTTTTTTTAAGACATGGACTTACTTTGTAGCCCACTTCAGCTTTAAACTATTGATCTTCCTGTTTTGGCCTCCCCAATGCTGAAATTACAGACATAATGCATGGCTTTACATTTGCCTCTTTCTGCCTGTTCTTCTAATTCCATTTTTTTTTTCTGAATCATTTGAAAGTTATCATTTTACTTTACCCCCAAACATGTTAGCTTTCTCTTCATAAAAACAAAAATATTTTTTCACATAACTAAAATACATTGATCATGCGGAAGGAATTATATTAGTACAATACTGTTACTGTATCTGACATAGTTCATTTTCAAATTTCCTCAGTTGTCTAATGTCTTTATAGCTTTTACTGTTTCTTGCTGACATAGGTATAGTAAAAATAACCATTGTTATATGTGGTTAACCAGGCAGCCGAACAGGCATATAGGTATAGTAAAAAAACCAATGTTATATATGGTACAACTCCATCTTCTTGTGTGTATGTGTGGCTTAGGGGATTGTACCTAAGGATTCACACTGAGCTTATAGCCTTTTCCCTCATTTTCACATAGGGTCTTGCTAAGTTACTCCGGCTGTTCTTATGCCTACCATCTTCCTATGCTGAGTAGCTGGAGTTACAGGCATACGCCAGCACACTCAGTTTCAATTCAGTCTTATGTTAGAGTTTAAATCTTTGGCTCTTAGTGAGGCTTTATGTAGAACATTTTCCATAAAGTTTTCACTGCTGTGATGAAACACTGGGGGATAGTTCAAATGCAGGAGGCTATTTTTACTCAGTTTTTAAGGCTCTGAAAGATATTTCTTGTATGAATTAAAAATGAATATTTTTAATCTCAGTATGAGCTAATACTGTGGCCTCATTGAAAGTCATAACATTGTCACTATCAGTTAGGACATTTATGTATTTTAAATTATTTTTTATTTCCAGAAAGTTGTATCTAAGTCTGTTGCTTCTTTTCAGGAGATTAAGTGATGAAAAAAACCTGCCTCTTGATGGTAAACGGCAACGATTCCATTCACCCCACCAAGACCCAACTGTAGTTAACCAGATAGTGCCTTTATCAGGTGAACGAAGATACTCAATGCCTCCATTGTTTCATACACCCTATGTACCAGAGATAGTCAGATGTGTTTCGCCTTTCCGAGAAATATCATTTTTAGAGCCTAGAGAAATCACACTGCCTGAAGCCAAAGATAAGGTAATGATAATGCAAATTTTACTTTTGCTTTTTGGAAATTTAATATGAATAATGTATTAAACTGTTTAAAGTACTCTTCAGCCAATTTTCTGCCTAAATCTCATTTTGAAGTGTGTCATTTTATGTAATAAAGCTGACAGGGAATTAGGTTTCTCTTGAATTGTAAAAATTTGGGATTAAAACCCAAAACATTTGATTTCCTACTTTACAGAACTCTCTTTTTCCTCATCAGAAAATAAGTTTTCTTATGCTTATAATAATATTCTTTTAAAGCATTTTGTTAAAGGACATTCGTGTTTATAAGGTTTTTAAATCTCAAAAATAGAGAATTCAGGAGTCTCTGAGAAAGTAATACATTCAAAATGGTACAATCAAGAAGTGTTAAGAGTACGAAATACTTATCAAGAAGATCATTTGTGAAACATTTTGTGACTGGGGGTATAGCTCAGTGATAGTACTTGGCTACCATGGGCAGGGCTCTGGGTACCACAAGAAAAAAAAATCAATTATTAAGTAATAATAATTTTTGGAAAATGATATTGTTAGCTTTGGGAACAATGAGTTATTTCAACCACAGGTAAAAAGCATCTCTCTCCCCTCTGCCATATTTAGTGAAAAGTTAAAGCCTCTAGGCTAGGGAAAGGTTTACAATATAAATATCTGCATTCTCTTGGATCATTTGTGCCTTACTGCTCTTCAAAGCTTCCATACTGGCAAGAAGTAGGTTACAAGTATTTGTATGCTAAAGAGAAGGAGGCTGAAGAGATTGTAGGGAGTTTGTATTACTCATTTTTGGGTTCCTAGCAATCGGCGTAAATCTGAAACAAAATAAAGGCACCGAAAAGAAAATCATGGTCAATAAAACATCACCTGCTTTGTACCTTAGTTGTGCTGCTGTTTTATTCTTCTGTCATTCTTTTGTTGTTTAGGTGAGTAATTGTATCATAACATCATCCTTTTCAATTCAGTACATTTTAGTGTGTTCACAAAATTGTCCTACTATTACCGTCATCTGATTCCAGAGCATTTTCATCATCCCTAAAAGAAACCTTTTACCTGGTAGCAGTAAGCTCCCCATTTCTCCCTCCCCTCACTCTTAACAGTCTGTTTCCTTTGTCTGTGGAGTTGCCTATTCTGGATATTTCATATAAGTCGAATGAATCATACAACATGTGGCCATTTGTGCCTTCCTTCTTTCAGTTAGCATAGTGTTATCAGGTTTCTCCATGTCATAGTATCTGTCAGTACTGTGTTCCTTTTTCTACTTGAATAATACTCCAGTGTGTGGGTGTACCATATTTTGTTAACACATTGCTCAGTTGATGGACATTTGGGTTGTTTTTACTTTTTGACAAATATGAATAAATGCTGTTGTGATTGAGTATGAACTTTTACACTGACATGTTTTCATTTCTCTTGGGCATGTTCCAAGGAGGTACATACTTGCTGGGTCATATAACTTTTTTTTTTCCTAAATAATGCTAGGAATTGAACCCAAGGCATTTGGGTACATTAGGCCTATGCTGTACAACTGAACTATATCTTTAGCCCTATGTTAACTTTTTGAAGAACTGTCAAAGTTTTTTTCTAAAGTAGCTGTACTATTTTACAGCATGTTTTCACTGGTGGTGTATGAATGTTCTTCCTTGACAACACTTGAAACACTTGGGATTGTGTGTGTGTGTGTGTGTGTGTGTGTGTGTGTGTGTGTGTGTGTTTTAGAAGTGCTAGGGATAGAATCCAGGACTTTGAGTGTGCTAGGTAAGCACTCTATTTCTGAGCTACCTCTAAAGTCCTGTCTTTTACTATAGCCATTCATTTGATACAGTTCAGTTTATTTTTCTTTGGTTGCTTATGCTGTTAGTATCAAATCTAAGAAACCATTACTCAGCCTGAGGTCATGAAGATTAATGCCTATGTGGTGTTGTGAGATTATTTTATAGCTTCAGTGCTTACACTTAGGATGGTGACATATTTTGATTTAATTTTTATGTGCAATATGAAGTTGATGGGTCTAGCTAGATTTTTTTTGCTGTTGTTCTAGTTGTCTCAGCACAATTTATTGAAAAGCCTATTCTTTCCTTTTCTGCAGCTTTCTTTACCACAATGTAGGGATAATCAGGCAAAACCAGTGGGAGAGAGGAAAACTAAAATGAGAAAAGACAAACTTGGGATACTATTTCTTCCTCCCTCTTTGCCTGTGTTTTCGGCTGTCTTTACTTCCGTGATTAAAAAAACTCTTTATAGTGTTAAATATACTCTATATGGGTTTTTAATAATATGCCAGTAGATTTTTTTTGTAGAACTTATTATCTGTAGAGTTCAGTATTGCTGTATATTTTTGTTTGTATTATAATTCACATTGCCCAGTCATCTTGTAGAGTAATTCTGTATCGATAAAGTTTTCTTTTCTTAGTACATAGAAAATTATCCTTTTCAATCTAATATTTTTGGAATTAGGCATTTCTTTCAGAGAGATAAAAATAGCTTTTATAGTTAAACCAGTTTCTTTGAGTGCTACTTTTTTCCTGCTGGTTGGTAAGAAGGCAAACAATTAGTTCTGTGTTCATTCTTTTTCTTTTTGTAGTACTGGGGATTGAGCTCAGAACCTTGCACTTGTAAGGTAGGTGCAGTGTTGCTGAGCTTAATATGTTCATTCTTGATGTCAGCTTTTCTTTTTTCATTTCTTGTAATACTAGAGATGAACTTGGAGTTCTGTACTGCTGAGTCAGCCTTTTAAATTTTGAGACAGGATCTCTCTTAGTTCCAATGCTGGGCTTGAATATGTGTTCCTGCCGCAGCCTGCTGAGCTGCAGGGATTACAGGCTTGTACCACCGTGGTGGCTTAAGTGAACAATTTTGAAGAAAATGAATGTGTATGATTTTTTTTTTTCCTAGACATTTTATTCAGGCTGTGCTATTTAGTCTTTTCAGCAACCCCGTGACATAGACCCCAGGACATATCCTAATTTTATTGAGGCTTATAAAGCTAAAATAATAACTTACTCAAGGTCACAGCTAGTAAATGGGAAAAGACAAGATTTGACCTTTGTCTCTAAAGATACAAAGAGGAAGAACTTAAAATGTTTAAAATTAAGGACAAGGAGATGACATTCTTAGAACTGACTGTAATACCAGGTGACTTGTCACATTGTTGTTATAGCTAATATTTAATAGAGTGTCTTTCTTTATTTTGCCATCACTGCCCAAGTTTATGGTTTGCCTCTGTAGAATAGCAAAAGTGAATAGAGGGTTTATTATGAGCTAACAACAGGGCAGTTGTTTGGGGTCTTGATATACAGTAGAATGCCATTAGTTTTTTGAATAAAGGGAATAACACGAGAGATTTGTATAGTTCTTGCATTAGTGTGGAGTATGGCTTAGAACGAGATGGGCCTGGAAGATGGATGATCTTCTTTAAGGCTGTGTGAAAGCTTTCAGTTATGGCACATAGTGATGAGAATGATATGAGAGATAGTAAATAAGGAGATTTGATGGAATATGGGACTAAAGAACTGTAGAGGGATGGGGGGAGGGAGGGAGAGAGAGAGAGAGAGAGAGAGAGAGAGAGAGAGAGAGAGAGAGAGAGAGACAGAGACAGAGACATTAAGTGACTAGTGATTTGTTTCTAGGCTACCAACATAAGAAACCAAGATTTTTGGATGTATACATTGATTGAGGACATAATTAAGAGATAGTTGGAACAGTAGAAAAATCTGCTCTAATATTTCTGCTCTTGAGAAACCTTGTGTTCTACAGATTGCACCCTGAGCATGAGCATGTAGGGCTTATGGGGAATAGTGCTGGAGCAGACTAAAGACAATTTTATAACCAAAACATTGTCAAGAATAATAATTGTTAGCTGGGGAAATAACTTGAACACGCGAAGCAGGCAGCTTACCATAGCTGGATGCTGCTGCAAGGGATATTAGAAATATATAAACTATTTGAGATTCTGGCTTGTGGTGTGTATTTCTGAGATGAGATAGTTACAAAATGGAGCTATGAGTCATTGAGATTGCTGTTAAGGTAGAGACTAAGGGAAGTACACGCACACTGAGCTGTGTAGGGCAAGGAGTATGCTTTCCTGAGCAGTAATCTTGGGTACAAATGCTTACTTTTAATTGTCTTAGGTCTCCAAGGACTCCTGACTGTGTTACAGTTGTGCTAAGGGCTAATTTTCTTTATCATCAAGGTAAATTCTACTATTTCTCCTCTGCCAGCTTTCTTTGGTGTGGAGGGCTATCCTTTGCATTCTAGGATGTCTAGCAGCATTTCTGGCTTCTACTTTGGAGGCCAGCATTCCCCAGTTTTGACAACCAAAAATGTTTACAGTTGTGGCTAATTGTCCTCCAGGGAACAAAATTCCATCTTGTTTAGAATTACTGGATTAGATGGAGAAGATATTGAAGAAGATTATGCTAAGGTTTCTGGCATTTCAGTTCATGACATAGTGGTATCCTCTACTGAGACAAAAGAGAAGCAAATGTATGTGCATGCATATTTAATAAGGGATAATTTCATGAGTTCTGTGGTGTGGCCTTTACGATGCTTTTGAAGCAACAAAGAAGATATTCAAAATTGATAGTGGAATATATATTGATCTGGAATTGAGAGGAAAGGTGTTGACTAAAAATATACATTTGGTAATCATCTGCATAAAGATGATAGTTGTGATTGTCAGCAGGAGAGCCCCTGTCCAAGGTTGAAGTGGCTTGAGCAAAAAAAGAGAAAGAGGCAAAGAGAAGGCATAACTATTTTGGAAACTGTGACCAAAGGGGAAGAAATTGGGACAAAGGTTTTTCTATTTTTTTTTTTAGGTGAGAGAAACGGTAGCCATATATAAATGTTAGCAAGAAAGATTCAGTAGTGCAGGAGGAGGTTGACTGCTTTGGAAAGAAAAGAACAATCATGAATAGTTTTTTGGAATGTGGGAAGGGAATAGGTTCTTTGTATAGGTGGAGTGATTGGCCTTAGGAAAGAGAAAAACTTTTTGTTGGGACTGGGGAGAGAGATGCAGAGGATTGCTGTAGGTACAAGGGGGTTTGTAGATGTAATAGGTAATGGAGTGCCCATGGCTGCTTCTTGTTTTCTTTCTCAATTACTAGGCAAGGTCATCTGTTGAGAGTAAAGAGGATGAAGTGGGATGTCAGAGGTTTGAAAAGTGTGGAGAAGGTTAGAAACAGCATTTACTGAACGCAGGAAATCAAACTGACTGGGAAAGTACAGCAGAGAACATACGACACAGTAAAAAGAGGATGAAGTGGGATGTCAGAGGTTTGAAAAGAGTGGAAGAGGTTAGAAACAGCATTTACTGAATGCAGGAAATCAGACTGACTGGGAAAGTACAACAGAGAACATATGACACAGTACGTGGTGATATAGAGGGCTCACTTAAGATTGATAATTGATTATTAATCAGTTGTCTGAGTCAGCTCTAGGGAAAGATTTGGTTAGTAGATATTTTCTTACACACAAAGGTTCATATTCTGTTTTGTAAAACTAGAGAGTTGAATTTTGAAAATGAGTACCCTCTGAGTTTAGATTTTTTTGGGATTTTAAAATCTTTTTATTTGTTGGTAGAAGATAATAGTTACATTTAGGCAAAATCTTAGCATTTTTTGTGAGGTAATGATCAGGTCTTAGCATTTCCAACTAAAAGTTATTTTGCTTTCTTTTACATAGAGAGCAGCTAACATGGACAAGTAGAGACACTGCTGAAAATACTATGTGAAAGTTGTACCTTAAGTTTTGTATAGTGATATATTTAAAAACTTTTATTAAATCCATACTTTATCCTTATAGTAATGGCATGTGTTGACCACAGTGATGATTTCATTGGTAATTTAATTTGAGGTTGACTTAGAAGACAGGTTATCATTTTTAAAGGAAAGATGAATATTTAAATTTGGAAGAAACAGTTACTGTTTTGAACTATAGATAATTTTATACAATCTTGAGCAAATACAACATTACTTATACTGAGAAATAGATTGCCTTTACAATTAATTTTAAAGTAATTCTGGCAGGCAACTTCAACAAGTAGTATTGTGGCCATTTAAGCAACTTTAATAAAATTCTTCATAGGCAGTTTGTTGTAATAGTTTTTCTAAATTAAAAAAATGCGGAAAAATTTATCCTAGAATGAAACAAAATAAAATAAAAGAATATTCTTAAAGTGCCATTATATATGTAGTCAGCTAGGTATTACATATGTGATTTAAATCACATATGATTTCAGCCAAGGAGATAATCATTCTTTGCTCATGGGCCACACAAAAAACAAGACAGGGACCAACGGTGGTGGTTTGGTGACCCATAATTATACTTAGGAGTTTTATATTAGAAAGTATTCAGATTTTAGTACATGTTTATTTTAAAAATAGTGTCAGTAGAATTGTTTTTCACTTCTCATTATGGTAATTATTTTACATTTCTGAACAAAATTTTTTTTTGTGGTGGATTCAAGTTAAGTCAGCAGATACTGGAATTATTTGAAACATGTCAGCAGCAAGTAAGTGACTTAAAGAAGAAAGAGCTCTGTCGAACACAGCTGCAGAGAGAAGTTCAGCTGCTGTTTCCACGTATGTCTTCCTATTTTGAATGCTCTTTATGTTATGTATTCCTCTTTTACAATGTGAATAATATCTTAGAATTTCCTTCTGTTCTTTTAGAAAGCAGACTTTTTTTGGTTGGGTCTTCTCTAAATGGATTTGGTACCCGGAGTAGTGATGGCGATTTATGCCTAGTTGTTAAAGAAGAACCAGTAAGTAATGAAACATTTATTTCTTCCAAGTTTATTTTTCATGTTTTATTAGTTAAAAAGTTTCACATAAAAGTCATTGAGGAAAAGAACTTGCTTCTTTGGATTTTCTGTTTACCATAATTCCAAGAAACTCAGAAAATGTTGCTTTTTAAATTTAAAGTGTGCACACAATGTGCATAACAGGAGCTCTAACATTAATTTAGTTCTAAGTTGTGTTTTTAAAGAGTTCTGCCTCTATTTTGAAATGTCGATAGGTTGGATACATTTATCAGGATGCAGCAAAAACATGTGGCAGTATTATCTTCTCGATGTATTTCCTTTTCATTTGAATTTTCAGTGATCCTATTTTTATTCATTTTTTTTCCCTTTTCAAATGCTGTGGGGTTTAGAGATTTTATTTTGGGAAGACAGAAAGATTTCACTGAAATTTAAAGTAAGACTATTGTGATTTATAAAATTTAATATAATTTCTGAGACATTTTGGTTTTATTTTTATTTAACAATCAGAGTGTTAAGTGGGATTGGGCCAGGGATTTAACTTAGTGATTGCGCCACCTGCCTTGCAAGCGCAAGGTTCCAAGTTTGATCCCTGGTACCAAAAAAAAAAAGTTACGTACGTGGTATTACATTAATTTGAAATTCCTGTTAGCCAATCTCTTGTGTATACCTCATTATCACAATAATTAGTGTTTATTAAGCTGACTTGAAGCAGCCTCTTTAAATGGTTGAGTTTTCCCCTGAATTACTAAAGCTTTACTTATCTTAGCTAAAAGGCCGAGAAGTGATGAATCACCAAAGCTTAAATTAAAATCAGTATTATATTAATATAATATGCCTTGTGTTCTACATCTGTTTTTCCCTTGAGTTTATTGGTACATTTAAAGCAAACAATACAGTTAGCATTCTACATCTTTAAAAATATAAAAAAACTATTGAAGGTGGTATATATTTTTACTGTTCATGTTATTCCAGTAACAAAAATAACTTGTAGTTACTGCAAATGAGAAACAGATTTATTCAAGGAAAGAAACTGGTATTTTTCTATGTTTAGAAATCATATAATGGAAAGGGGAGGTTGAAATTATAAACATAATGGCGATTACAAGAGTTGCAATTAAAATATACTCTTGCAGTTAGACTATACTCAGGTCCGTCTTCCAGTCTTAATCATGTATGTGAATCATCTTGTTATATCTTATATTCAAATGAAGCTCGCAAGAGCCAGGTATAGTGCACACCTATAATCCTAGCACTTGGAAGGCAGAGCCAAAACAGTTGCTGTGAGTTGGAGGCCAGCCTGGACTATGTAGTTAGTTCAAGGCCAGCCTCAACTATATAGCAAGATCCTGTCAAGACCCCCCCACCAAAAAAAAAAAAACTAAACAGCCAAAACAGCTCATGGTCTAGATAGGGAATAAAACATTGAGAGAGCTTAAAAGTCTGTTTATTTTTGTTGGAAAAGATTAATTTTGTACATTTAAATCAAAGGAAAATATGACATGACTTCCAGAATTTCTCTAAAAATCATCCTTTAAGTTTAAAATCTGGAATTTAGAAACACGGATGTGAAATTTAGAAATTAAGGTTGGCCTTTTCGTTAATATAATTTGGTGTATAATGAAAATAAGTTCAAAGAAAAGTACACTTTGTATGTTTTCTTTTTTGTTGAGATGTGTTAAGAAAAATGTATTACTAAGCTAAGTAAGATTATGAAAAATGACTTTCATTTTAACTTCAGTGTTTTTTGTTTTTTGTTTTTTTTTCTTCAGGTAAATCAGAAGACTGAAGCACGGCACATACTACTATTAGTCCATAAACACTTCTGTACTAGACTTTGTAAGTCTGACATGTCTCAAGTTCACATAATCTGTCTGTTAACAGCTATTTAAAATGTTTCTCACTTTGTTTTCTGATAAGAATTTTTTTTTTTTTCTGGTCATGTATAATGTGGATCCTTTTTCCAACTAAATTCCTTTTAACTATTAAAAAAAAGACCATTTAATCTTAATGAGCTTGTTTGTTCTATATCTCACTAGATGTAGTGAGAGATACATAAACTTTTTCTCAAAAGCTGTGGTTCATTAGGGAAAGAAACTTAGGCATGAATGAATTGCTGTAATGCAAAGTATCTGAAAAGCCTAAAGAGTGACACATATGAAGTACTATAGGTACTCAGATGAGAGAGAGATTTCATCTGTTTTGCAGTGATGTGCATTTTAATTGTTTAAAAAATATGAACACGGACCAAGATGTAACTCAGTGGCTCCATGTGTGCCTGGCTATTGCAAGGTTATAAGTTCAGAAAAAAAAAAAAAAAAATGAACACGAGGCCCAAATGTATTATTCTAACAAAAGCAAAATTGTTGACTTGGGCCATATGGCCATATAGTAAGGTTTTATTCTTTAGTAAGCTTGACTCTAAACAGGTTTTATTTTACATAGGATTTATCAGTTTATTTTAAATGTCTACAAAATTTAAAGAAAGTTGAAGTCACACTAACTACTATGATATTGGAAAGGTATTTGTTTTTTTGTTGAGCAGGTAACTTGTGGGAACCTTTGAGCTGGAAAATAAAAAGTCGAGTAATGAGTTACTGTCCCTGAACAGCTTGAGACCTATTGTAAGAGAGAAATAAGCCAAGTGATTTATTTCAATGGATATAATTTACTGCATCTGGAAAATAAGGGAGTAATTCAAACCTTAAATGAATTTTTAATGGATATTGTGAAAATCATAAAATGTTAAAATTGGAAAGGGTCTTACAGATAATCTAGTTCAAATAAAATAGAATTGTTTCCTTTTGATTTTTTTTTTTTTTTTTTTAT